TATGTAAGTATACGAGTTTATCGACATTTATATTGCTATATAAAACTTTAGTTAAAAAATCGAGTCAAAAAATCAATAAAGAGCCTCAAGGCCAAAATTTAAAATTGGTTTATCCCTGATGTAAAAAGCTTATGCAATAAAAATCAGCCAAAACCAAGCACGAATCGAATCTCAAATCGAGAAAATACCATGTTAGAAACTTTAGGGTATATAAAAATCTCAATTTCTAATACAAACATGGATTAAAGCACAATCAAATCATTTGACCAAACATCAATATGAAGCTCTTCTCAAACTTTTTAAGAGTTAGAAAAAGTGTAACATATAAAATCACAAAAGTTCTCCTATTCCTAACAAATGAGGGACAAACAAACTTAGTACAAATTTCTTTTCCCTCCATCCCAATTCATTCCTTTAGTTTTTTTTGTTTTTTTTTTTGATTATTTTTAAAAAAACAACTATATTTATACACGAGAGATATATATGGGTCAAATTAATCCGAGACAATATATAGTAAATATCAATTAGTGAGGATAATTTTGTCTTAAAAATGTTACTTTCTCCGTTTAAATTTATTTGTCCTATTTTTCTTTTTAGTCCGCTTAAAAGTGTATGTCTCATTACCTTTTTAATTAGCAACTCTTTAATTAGTTCCAACTTTTCACATCGATCGCATATTAAGACCATCATATTAAAGGACATTTTGATACATTTAACAAATCTTTAATTTAAATACACAAGATTCAAAAGTCCTTTCTAACTTTTTAGACTCCTTATCAAGTTAAAATATATTGGACAAATAATTTAAAATGAAAAAAAGTACTAATTTTTTTGCTTTACTTTCAGAAGGAAATAGAAATTTATAGCTTATCGCTAATAACAAAAAAAACAACTTTTTTACTTAAAAGCACTTTTATTTTTGGCCAAACACATCTTTTTAATATATAAATTACATCCAGAATTGGACGTGCATCTTATTTCATCCAGCAAAAAGTCACACATGATGCACCATTGAGTTCAATGGAACTCTAGCAAAAGTAGTCTAGAACAGGCTCTGGAATTATCTACAATTAATTAGTTTAGCTGATAAAAAAAATTAGTTTTGTCGAATTTAATCTGGTTTTTAGCAAATCATTAACAACAATAATATGCTTCATTTTATCCTTCATTGAATAAAATTAGGACTAATATCTAATATCTACCTTCTTTATAAATTTTATTTTTGAATTTTTTGAGGTTATGATTCTTTTTCATAAGAGTAATTTGAAGAAAAAGTAGCAGAGAGATAGAAACAATTGAAAAAAAGGGGTTAAAAGTTTAATTTTACAGAAACATAATTTCTGTTAATATAAACCTAAGCAATTGATATTAAAAGAATAGATAAAGACCAAATTAATTGATAATTTTTTAAATAGTTAAAGGATTAAAACTAATAACTAATAAGTATATAATTAAGGAGCTAAATTTATGACATTTTCTCTGGCGAGTTCAATTTAGTACAGTTTTTCATCAGTCTTATTTTCCAATTAATATATGTTCATGCATGCAGAAACATGATACTATTAAAACCTTGATTAATACGTTGACAAAATTAAAGATACACAAAACATATTATTCAAACATAGTTGTTGATCTACTGATTGCATAATTTCTTCAGCATATATTTTTTTAAAATAGTTTTAGTGAGTGCGGTACGGCAAGGTGCCATATGATTGATTACTATTGAATTAAATTATAAATAATGAATGAATGATCCAATAAAAACGAACTCTGATAATTATCAGTCAACTATTCTTGATTATCTTTTGTTTCTTGTAATATAATATTAGTATTAATTAATGTGCAAAACTCTTTTATTACTCTTTCGAATTGTATGACTATATATCTCATGGGAGCTTAGGTTATCCGAAAGAGAACATATTTATTTGATCAACACATCACTTGGCTCACATGCCGGCCTTATTTTATTGGGCAGTGGGTAGCGATGCCTGTTCTGATATCATACTGATAATATTTGATTATTTCATCTATAAAACATATTTATATTTACTTCATTAATTATATATGTCTTTAACAATTTCCTCATATAATATCAGTCTAAATAACCATTCTCATGAAGTAAATCTTTTGGCTATATATATATCCTTGTAGAAAGTGGTTCTTAGGTTGTGTTCGGTATAAAGGAAAATGTTTATAGAGAATAAGTGAATTTTCTACTTATTTTTTAGTGTTTAGTATAGATAAGCATAAAAATTTATATTATCCTAAAAACATTTATATAAATTCAGAAAAATACTACGAGAGGTCATGTGTTGCGGAGGTAAGGCTCACATCCACTCCATTTATGTAACCATAATTATCAATACATAGGGTGGGGTCAAAGCCAAACCCCCATCGCCTTCGAGTGTTCATAACTCAGGGTGAAACAACTTAATATGAACCAAAAAAGGAAAAAGAGGTGAGGGTAGGGAGATAGGGGCTAATGTGGGGGTGGAAATGAGGTCTGTTGGAGGATGGAAAGGACACAATCAATGTGAAATGTCACTAGTAAAACTTGTGTTCCCTACTGTTATTAGAAAACTCATTTTTTTTTAAAACTCATTTTCTTAGAAAAAATATTTTTCAACATATTTGACCAACCAAACACACCCTTAGTTTTCAATTGTTTGTTATCTTTAGTTACTAGTTTCAATTCGAGCATTGTTATAAACAGGAAAGTCTAGTAGAAAATGTCTTACCCCCTTTGACTGGCCCATTCAATGCAATATTAATATATGTTTTCCCTAAATAATTGAGAATATATTTTTTTTTTTGGAGGGAAGAAATAATTTTAAAATTTTTGAATTGGTTTTGCAATATTCCTCCGCAGCCCAACCCCACCACACACCAACCACACACAAAATCCAGCAGATAAAATCATTAAAAAAATGCTTCCGCTACACAAAGTGGAAACTACAACGTACAATTATATAAATGTCAAGTCAAAATTGATATATTTAAATCTACACATTTCCTAATAAGTAGTAGGCTATATTTTATTTTAATTAATTATAAAACGAGAGACGCAGCCCCAACTAAATTTGCATTAAAAATAATTGATATAAATTATATAGTCTGAACATTTCGTGCATGAATTGTCCTCTTAATTAGAAATTGTCAAAGTTGGCTCATTCGTAGACATTTTTATTGACCTATTAATACATCCACATATTACTCTCATATATCATCACTCATAATCATTAACAACAAATAGAAGTGTACAACTTCATAAAATAAAATAAAAATGGCTTCTCGTAGCTTTCTCTTTATTTATGTGTTAGTCATGTTTTCTCTAGCAGGCATGGCGTTTTCGGACTTGTCCGATGATTTCTACCACCATATTTGTCCCAAAGCTTTACCAACCATTAAACGGGTTGTTGAGGATGCAGTCAGAAAAGAGAGACGAATGGGTGCTTCTTTGCTACGTTTACATTTTCATGATTGTTTCGTTAATGTGAGTTTAATTTCTTTTTTATCTCCCACTTAATATTTGGTACGTACGTCGTTATTAATTATTCTACTTCTTTCTAAATGCAGGGTTGTGATGCTTCAATTCTTCTTGATCAAACTTCTACTATTAATAGTGAAAAGACTTCTCGTGCTAATAACAATTCAGCCAGAGGATTTGAGGTGATTGATAAAATTAAATCAGAGGTTGATAAAGTTTGTGGACGTCAAGTTGTGTCTTGTGCTGACATCTTAGCTGTTGCAGCTCGTGACTCTGTAGTTGCTGTGCGTATTACTACTACTCCCTTATTATCTTAAAATTTACTACTCCCTTAAAATAAGATAAATTAAATATATCCTTATTCTCTAGCTTAATTATGAATTTGTTTCTTAACATGATATTTTTACATGAACAGCTACATGGACCAAGTTGGAAAGTGAAACTGGGAAGAAGAGACTCGACTACAGCAAGTAGAACCGCGGCCAACGACAATATTCCAACTCCGTTTATGGACTTACCTGCACTTATCAAAAACTTCAAGAAGCAAGGTTTGGATGAGGAAGACCTCGTTGCTCTCTCCGGTTCCCATACACTAGGGTTTGCTCAATGTTTCACCTTCAGGAATCGCATTTACAATGAGACTAACATTGATCCCACCTTTAGAAGACAACGCCAAGCAAATTGTCCACGTAGTGGAGGTGATTCCAATCTTGCTCCACTTGATCCAACACCAGCTCTTTTCGACTCAAAATATTTTAGTGACTTAAGGTCCAAGAAAGGGCTTTTACATTCTGATCAAGCACTATTTAGTGGAGGAAAAACCGATGATCTTGTGGAGAAATATAGTAAAAACTTAGGAATGTTTTCGAAAGATTTTGCTGAGTCTATGATTAAGATGGGTGATATCAAGCCATTGACCGGAAAGCGAGGCCAAATTCGTGTCAACTGCAGGAAGGTGAACTAAGAAGTGCTAATGATGTTGATGAAATAATTGTTTGAAGAATCTGTTTATTTTCAATTGTAAGTGTGATTTTTAAAAAAAAATTAATAGGCTATCGCCTAAATGTGTTGTATTTCATCAGAATGGTGGAACACAAGAAGGACCGAACCATACCTCCAAAATAATTCGGAGTCAAGCTCTCCAAAAAAATTGTAATTGTGATGTTTGCTAGTTTGGATTCTTTTTGTCATTTCTTATAACAAGCCAGTTTTGTATCATGTTATTTCATTTGGGGTTCACTAGTTGATAGAATGTATGCGTCCACTATACGTCAATGAACCAGGTCCCTTGACTCAGTTGGAACAGTAACTTAAATAAAAGCGTTAAAATATATGACACAAACAGTTTACGTGAAAACCCCTTGCTCAAGGGAGGATAAAACCATGACCTGCACTCACATGATTTCAACTCAACTCCATTATCATCAAGGAGCAAAGATTTAGATTACAAGCTCTTGCAATCTAATGAATTTAACTCTAAATACCTTCCCCCTCACTGTAACAACTCTGTTAAGTTTCAAAGCAACAACTCTGTTGCCCACTAATCAATTAACCCTAATCGATTTAGACTTCACTAACTCACCATAGCTAACTCTAGCTACAACTCAGATTCAATGTTAAAGACACTAACTGATTTGATTCCTTTATAACACAAGAATAGATCTACAAGAATAAGCACCGAAATATAAACCTACAACAACTAAGAACAATGAAAACTCTAGATCTATCAGGTCCCTTGTTGTTCTTGAGGAGAATATTTCTGGAGAGAATGGCTTTTGCTATGTTTTGAACTTTCAGAATGCAAAAACTAAGGTTGTGTCCATTGATATGAAGCTTATTTGTAATGAACACAAAACCCTAGAAGCAATGTTATTGGCCAACGATCATGCCACTCTGCACCAGACGCGCACCACCTCCTACAGATGACAGAGCATGCAGAGTATTTTTTCAGTTGTCCTTTTCTCATACAGGAGCACCATTCTCACATGGGATCAGATCCCCTCATCAGATCCCATTGTTTGTCAAATCATCAAAACTAAATAATTACACTATCTTTAAAATTGTTTGACAAATATATTATAACACAAATAAATTATTTACAGAAGTTATAAAAAAAAAAAAAGGTTTTGTCCCCTTTTGAAGAATTACAGAGTTGTTTGTAGAAGAACAGAGAATTAATCTTTCATAGATTTGAGAAGAAAAAGTTGTATTCAATAAAGTTGTATCACAGCTATTTATACATGTACTTCTCATTCTATCCTTAGATCTAGAATGTAACTACCTAACAACATTATAACAAATTAACTAACTCCTAACTATAAACTTGAAGAGTAGTTACAGACTCTTATTTCTATCAACACTCCCCCTCAAGCTTGGAGGAGCAAATATGTTTAGAACTCCTAGCTTGGACAATAAGAGCTCATGTTGTACTCTGTTTAGTCCTTTCGTTAGAACATCAGCTGGCTGACTTTGAGTTGGTATATAACTGATATTGATTAACCCTTGTTGCAACTTCTCTCTAATGAAATGACAATCGATTTCAATGTGTTTGGTACGTTCATGATAGACTGGATTGGCTGCTAACTGAATTGCAGATTTACTATCACTGTATATGTTTACTGGAAGAGTTATTTCAGCATCCAAACTTCTTAGCAGCCCTACTAACCATACTAACTCAGCTACAATAGATGCCAAACTTCTGTACTCAGCTTCAGCTGAACTCCTTGATATTGTTGTTTGCTTCTTAGCTTTCCAAGACACCATAGACTCTCCTAGCTTGATCACAAATCCAGTTACAGACCTCCTTGTAGTAGGACATGCTGCCCAGTCTGCATCACAGTAGGCTGTGATTTCAGTGCCTGAACTGCTGGATAACAACACACCCTGACCTGGTTGTTTCTTGATGTACTTGACTACTCTTAGTGCAGCATCCATGTGAGATTTTTTAGGTTGCTGTAAGAACTGACTTAATGTTTGCACACTAAATGAAATGTCAGGTCTAGTCATGTTCAAATATAGAAGTTTTCCAATCAATTTTTGGTAGACACTTGGATCTACAAGCTTGTCTCCTTGATTTTCCTTGTTTGATCATCATATTGTTTTGATGTTAGCTTGACATTCACATCCATAGGAGTGCCTGATGGCTTAGCACCAGATACTCCAACTTCAGCAATCAGTTGAAGTGCATATTTCCTTTGATGCATAACCATTCCAGCCTCACACCTTGCAAACTCTATTCTAAGAAAAAATCTTAATTCTCCCAAATCCTTCATCTTGAATACTTGTTGTAAGGCTTCTTTTGTTTCCTTAATCAGCTCAAGACTACTTCCTGTAACCAAGATATCATCAACATATACTAAAATTATTGTAGTTCCTTTAGAGGTTTTTCTTGTAAACAGAGAATGATCATGCTGACTTTGACTGAAACTGAGTTTTTGTAATGCCTCTTTAAGCTTTTGATTCCATTGTCTAGGTGCTTGTTTAAGACCATATAGAGACTTTACCAGTCTGCATACTTTCTTCTCCCCCTGACTGGTAAATCCTTGTGGCAAGGTCATGTATATTTCATCCTGTAGATCACCATTTAGAAATGCATTATACACATCCATTTGATGAATGTGCCATTTCCTTGCCACAGCTAAAGCTAGGATAGTTCTTACAGTCACCATCTTTACCACAGGTGAAAAAGTTTCTTTGTAATCTATCCCCTCTTTCTGACTGTATCCTTTTGCCACTAACCTTGCCTTATACCTCTCTACTTCACCAATAGACTTGTATTTTATTTTGTAGATCCACCTACAACCAATTGCAGTCTTTCCTGCAGGCAATTCAGACAATTCCCAAGTATTGTTACTTTGCAAAGCATGTATTTCAGCCTTCATTGCTTCTATCCACTTTGGATCTTTACTAGCTTCTGCAAATGTTGCTGGTTCGTGCATCATAGATGTTGAAGCTACAAAAGTTTGATAAGGCTTAGACAGATGATTGTAAGCCACACAATCAGAAATAGGAAACTGTATGTCCTTATTAATGTTTAATGATACAAAATCCTTCATCCATATAGGTGGATGAACTCCTCTTGTAGACCTTCTTGTGACCACTGGCTCTACATTTTCTTGACTTTCATGAACCTTCGGATCAGGTCCTTCTATCATCTGATCTAACACTAGATCATGTTCAGGTTCTTCTGGCATATCTCTTTCTTCTTCACACTCTGACCTTATGTTGACATCTTTTGGGACACTGTCACTCCAGTCGAAGTTCAGCATTTCCAGACTCATGTCATTTACAAAAGGACCAGCAACATCTGTTGACAGTCTGGATATAAATGGAAACACAGACTCTTGAAACCTCACATCTCTACTTACAAAGAACCTCTGGGAAGCTAAATCAAGCAATATATACCCTTTTTGAGTCTCTGAATAACCCATAAGAACTGAGGCTTTGGACCTGGATGCTAATTTGTCACTCTCTGATAAGACCTTAGCATAACACAAACATCCTAGTACCCTTAGATGTGTTAGCATTGGCTTATTTCCATAGAGCTTCTCATATGGAGATTGTCTTCCTAGTACCTTACTAGGCATCCTATTTATCAGATATGTTGGTGCAAGCACACATTGCCCCCAATATATCAAAGGAATGTTGCCTTGAAACCTTACTGCCCTAGTAACCTCTAACACATGTCTATGCTTCCTTTCTGCCACTCCATTTTGTTGTGGAGTGTAAGGACAAGACCTTTGATGTATTATGCCTCTATCTTCGAACATTTTTGTACACACAAAATTTACAAATTCTGACCCATTATCAGTTCTTACCTTCTTTACTACTTTACCAAACTGAGTTCTAACAAACTGCAGAATTTTTTACAAAATAACACATACATCTGACTTATTTTTCAACAGAAACAGCCAAGTCATTCTTGAGTAATCATCAACCACTGTAAGAAAGAATCTATTACCATCAAAAGTAGATTGTTTGTAGGGACCCCATACATCCAAATGCACCAAGTCAAAACAGTCAGTACTTTTAATACTACTATTTGGAAACACAGCTCTTGTTTGTTTTGCACAAGGACACACACTACATTTATTCAAAGCTTTGTTCACAACCTCTGGACTAACAGAAAATAACCTGCTCAATGCATGAGATGACATGTGTCCTAATCTTTTGTGCCATACATTCACTTCTTCTTCTGATAGCTGCTTTGCTTCTTTTCTTTTTCCTTCTGCCAAACAGGATTGAAATTGCACTTGACCCTGTGTAAGATTCTTCAACAGCAAATACAACCCAGCCTCTTCCTTACCAATCTCCCTCACCTTGCCAGTGTAGAGTTCCTGAAACACACAGAAATGTGGAAAGAAAGTGACTGAGCATCCTAACTCCTTTGTCATCTGACTGACTGACAACAAATTGTATTTGAACTCTGGAACGTGAAATACATTTGTGATTACACTTCTTGGGGAAATTGAGCAGGATCCAGTGTGAGTTACATATGCTACTTCACCATTAGGCAAGCTTACAGGTTTTGGATCCTTGACATTCACTAAAGACTCCTTAGTTAACATACCAATATTAGAGCTCATATGGTTGGTGGCACCTGTGTCTATAATCCATATCTCACTATGTTCAGAAACTAATAGAGCTTTACCTGCTGAATTAGCCTGAACTCCATGAGCTGCACTCCCTGATAGGTTTCCACAATCTTGATTCTGGTTGAGCATCTTCAGAATTTGACTGTATTGATCTTTGGTGAAAGTACAGCCTTGCAGATGATTCTCACTTTCACCTACTTGTGACCTTTGACCCTTATCATGAGTACTCCCACAGTTGAATAAAGGATCATTTGACATCCCATCATATGCATCTTTTCTTGTAGTATTAACTTCACTTCCAGTCATGTAAGCATTATGACCTGCTCCATTATTCATTTTTCTCTTCGACTTAAAATCAGGAGGATATCCTATCAACTTGTAGCATTGTTCTTTAGAATGCCCTTTGCATCTGCAGAATTCACATATTAACCCCAAGTTCTTCTTGAACCTGTTATATCCTTGGCTGTTAGACTGACCTCCAATTCTTGAATACATTGCTAAGGGATCAACCCCAGTAGAACAGATGGAGTTCAGTCCTATATTAACATCACTGGAAGTCAATTTCTGACACTCATCATTCACCACCATCGCATAGGCCTGATTGACTCCAGGAACTGGATTCACCAACAAAATT